GTCGTGGGCGGTACGCATGTGAGGGAGAGAGCGTGCCTGACCAGTCTGACCGGCCCCAGGCCAAGAGGTGGAAGGAAGGAAGGTTGCTTACTCTAATGGGTGTGGCCATGGCGGGTGGTGTGAGGGGGGTGGGGAGTAAGGGGGGAGGGGGGGGGGGGGAGGGGGGGGGGGGGGGAAGGAGAGAAGGGCTTGTGAGGAGAGGAATGAAGGTGATGGTGAGGGTGCAGGGAGAACCAGAAAGGGGGCGATCAGTCGGCAAAGTGGGGGCAGGAGCAGGTGGTGGCGGGAGGACGGGGCTCTGTGGGGTGCAGGGGAGGAGGGGGGGGGGGACGGAGGCACCACCTCACTCTTCCCCCTCTCCTCCGCCTCTTCCTCCTCCGTACACGCAGTGCAAGCAGCTGACGGACTCGTGGGGTATGGCGTCCATGCTGCTGCGCAAGGTGCGCAAGCTCATCTCGCAGGGCCGCGAGCGGACGGACGACGGCGAGTTTGATCTGGACCTGACATACATCACGCCGCGACTGATGGCGATGGGACTGCCGGCAGAGGGCTTGACGGCAGCATACCGCAATCCGATCGACGACGTGGTGGGGTACCTGGAGAAGCACCACGCCAACGGGTTCATGCTGTACAACCTCTCGGAGATCGCGTACGACACGGAGAAGTTCTCGGACCAGGTCCTCAACTTTGGCTTCAAGGACCACCACGCGCCGCCGCTGGCCCTGCTGTACACCATTGCCTCATCAATCCATGGCTGGCTTGCCGCAGACGCCGCAAACGTGGCCTGCATCCACTGCCGCGCCGGCAAGGGCCGCACAGGAACCATCATCTCCGCCTACCTGCTCTTCTCCGGCCTGGTGAGCTCGGCCCAGGAGGCGCTCGACTACTACGCGTACATGCGCGCTCGCCGCCGCAAAGGTGGCCAGGTGACCAACCCGTGCCAGCGCAACGCCGTCGCCATGTTTGAGGCTGTTGTCTACCGCGGCGTGCCGGTGGCGGACTTTCCGCGCCGTCTGTTGCGCGTCGTCCTTCATGGCCTCCCACCGGCGCTCTCCACCTCGCGTGGCTTCCGCCCCTACATCGAGGTCTATGACGCGCCCGGTGGCACCCTGCTTGCCTCGACCCGCCGCGAGGTCTCGGTCATGGAGCACTACCTTGCCGCCGACGGCCCACAGACGATGGTCATCGACCTGACGGATGTTTCAGACGCCGACGCCGTCGAGTCGGTCTCGACGCCCGCTGCCGACGACGAAAGCGCGCCGCCGGTCCTTGGTGCGCTGCAGGGTGTCGCCATCGCCGGCGACCTCTATCTTCGTGTCTTGCATGCGGCCGGGCCGCGGACGCTGGCGCTCCGCCGCTTTCCGGACACCTACCTCTTCCGCCTCCAGGCCCACACCGCATTCATGGAGCCGGTGGTCCGGCTGACCAAGGCTGAGCTTGACGACGGGCGGAAGGACGACCGTCTCGACGACGGCTTTGAGGTCGAGCTCATCTCGGTCTCCGAGGCCGAGGCGCGGATGCCCGAGGGCGCGCCGGCGGCCGATGGCGAGGCAGCCAGCGCGCCTGCTGTACCAGTCCTTGTCGCCCACGACCCCGAGGCCCAGAAGCGGCGGCACGGCGCCGAGTGCTTCCCCAGTGGTCCACCGTCGCGGACGCTCGTCGACATGCTTGTCGCGCAGGACGAGGGTGGCACCGGTGCCAGTGCGTCGGCGAGCGCCGGCGCCGACGATGAGACGAGGGCGGCGGCGCTTGAGGCTCGCGCCACCAAGCGGGTGTACACGGATCCGCGGGCAGAGCGCGAAGCGCTTGGTGTCCTCAGCGGCCACGTCCACACGGTGACGTGTGTTGTGTTTGATGCCGAGAGCCGACGGGTGTTTGTCGGGACCGCGAGTGGCGCGGTCTACATCCACGCGTACCCGCTGGCAGCAAACGGGCCAGCGGGAACGACGGGACAAGCGACGGTGGAACATGTGCTGGAGCCGGCCGGCGAGCGCGACCTATCGCGGCATGTGACGGCGATTGCAGTCGTCTCGGCGCCGGAGCCGCTCGTTCTGGTCGGCGACGCAGGGGGAAGCGTCTCGGCGTGGTGCGGGCGCGAGTTTGGCCACTTGCGAACGGTATCGTTTGCCGGCGACGGAGAACCGGGTGAGCCCGGCGTCACGGCCCTGGTCACTTACCCAGTGCCGGGGCGCAAGACGCTGCGGGTGTTTGTAGCCGGGCGCGGGCGGTACATTGCCGAGGTCGGGCGCGCCATGTGCGCCGGTGCTGGGGAGTCGTCCGCCATCCTCCCGTCTGTCGTTCTTGAGCCGCAGGAGCGGGTGGCCGGTATGCTCTGGACCGAGACGATGGGACTGGTGGTCGGCCTCACCTCGGGCAAGGTCGGCACGGTCCGGTCCGGCCTTTTCCAGCCGCTGTTCAGTCTTCCGGCCTCGTGGCCGGCGCTCACAAGCATTGCATGGAACGGGGTGGCGAGCGCGCTGTACACGCTCGCAGCCGACGGCTCAGTAGGGGTGTGGGACACGTCGTCGCTCACGCTCCTGGTCCGGCACGCACCGCTCACGCAGGCATCCGGGCCATTTACCGTCTCGGCGCCGGCCGGTGCGGTCCCGGTCACCGGCCGCAGCATGTGGTGCATGCACTCGGGCTCGGCCTTTCTTGCCCGCGACGTCATTGACGGCGACGTCGTGTTCGAGCTGGCGGCGGCGCCGAGTGCGTACTGCGTCACCCCAGTCGGCGACCGAGTCGTCGTCTTTCTGGCTACCTTTGATCAGGTGAGCGTCCTTGTATTGAAGTGCGAGTAGATGCTGGGCCACCTGTTGCGTGAGGGAGGTAGCGTTTAGGAGGCGGGGGCAGGGGGGGGGGTGGCGTCATTGGCGTCATTCTTGGCCTTGGCCTGGTCTTGTCCTTGGTCTTGTCCTTGGCTTTGGTTTTGTCCTTGGTCTTGTCCTTACCCTTACCCTTGCCCTTGCCCTTACCCTTTCCCTTACCCTTGCCCTTGCTCTTGCCCTTGCCCTGTTCCATCTCAGGCAGAGTTGCCAAAGGTTGATCAGGCTCGGAAACGCTTGCCGACTCGCAAGCAGGCTCGACAGCGGCAGCAGCGCCAGGCTTGTCGATCGGGGTGTTGTTGGGAGGAGGGGCAGGAGCGGGCGTCGGTTCGTTGTCGGCTTCCGGGGTGAACTCTGGGGCACCAGACGCAGCAAGCTCGGACTTGGACTTGTCCTTGCTCTTGCCCTCGCCCTTACCCTTGCCCTTACCCTTGCCCTTACCCTTGGACTTGCTCTTGGACTTACTCTTGCCCTTGCCGTTGCCCTTTCCCTTGGACTTGGACTTGGACTTGGACTTGGAGATGGGGACTGACGTTGCGCCGTCACCACCATCGCCACCATCACCACCATCACGGGTCGCGGCATCATCGGCGTCACCAGCACCACTCACCAAAGCATGCATGGCCTTGGTCGGACTGGATTCCAAGGCAGAGACAGAGACAGATTTGGCATCTTTGGCCGAGCCAGAGCCAGAGCCGCCTGTGGAGCGCGAGTGGCGCTGGCGCCGCGGCGGCGTGGGGTGCGCGCGAAGGGGCGAGGCGTAAATCGGCGACGAGGCTGTAAAGCTTCCGTTGAGCTTGAGCGGCGGTGGCGGCGACGCCGGGTCGTGCAGCGACGAGGCAGAGACGTTGGGTGAGGCGGCGACGTCAAGACCGTTCATGCGGCCGAGCTGGCGGAGGAGAGCGGAGGCGTGCGGCGAGACAGGGGTATTGTCGGCCAGCATGCGCGTCATAATAGACTCAGGTGCAGAGTCTGGGTGGAGCAGCCGCGACGGAGTCCGCAGCGGCGACGCCGGTGAGGCTGTAGCCTTGGACGAGGAGCGGACGCGAGAGCTGGAGCGCGACGGCGATGTCTTCTTCTTACTCGACGAGAGCGGCGAAGGTGAGCGGAAAACGGACGAGGCGCCGACGGTGCGATCGTCGACGCCATGAAAGACGGCATAGACTTGCTTGGCCCGCTCGGGCGCAAGGTTGTAGTCAAAGATGCATGACTCAAAAAAGGCTGAGACGCGGGTCCAGTCGTGGAGGGCCGGCGGCATGGAGGAGCGGACGCGGTTGTGCGGGGTAAACTTGCGGTAGACGTACTTGGCCGACTGGAGGAGAACAAAAAACTCGAGGCGGGCGGTCTGGACCGGCGAGAGGCGCGAGGTGCGGCCGTCGTCCAAGTCCGAGTCTTCGACATCGCCGTCGTTGGAGACCGGGGAGTAGCGGCCGAACGAGGGCGCGCGCGCCTGAGACGAGCGGTCGAGGAGGGCAACCTTGTTGATGACGGTCTGAACAAGGTTGGGCAGCGCCTCGGTGAGGCGCATGAGGAAGACGGAGACGTACTCGGTGGCAAACATGGCCGAGAGCGCCGAAAGCGAATCGAGCTCGAGGTCCGAGTCGCCCTCGCGCGACTTGTGCTCCTTCCGCGACTTGTCGACGAGTTCGGAGAGCTTGCGCTTGCGCTCATGCTCTGTCTTGCGGAACGAGGCCGAGACACGGGCGATGATCGAGTCGATAGTGCGGGCGACAGAGGACTTGACGATTTTGAGCTCACGCTCGGAGCGCTCCGACTGGGCCTGGCGCTCCATGGTCTGGGCCGAGAACGGCTCGACGCGGACGGGCGGGACCTTGTGAGCGACGGCAAAGCGGACGTCAGTCAGCGAGCCACGGTGGTGCAGTGTCCGGCGGAGATGCGGCTGCAGATACGGGTTGTGGTCCGGCCCGTCGTCGGGCACCTTGCCTAGCCGGACGGCGGTGACTCTGGCATTGAACTCCCAGAACTGGTCCTCGGGCCGCAGCGCCGGCGCGCTGGACCCGTAGGACACGTCGTCGTCGTCGCCGTCGCCGCCACCGCCGCCGTGCTCGCTGGTCGCCGCACCTTGCAGCGCCGTCGTCATCGAGAGCGAGCGGAGCGAGACGTCCGCCCGCGGCAGCGTGCCGTTCGTCTTGCGCTTGCGGGCCATGGCACGGACCAGCGGCAGGTCCAGCGCCGTCAGGTACTCGTTGGCAAGGTCCTTGACATTGCCTTCGGGCTCCTCTGCTGCCAGCTCGGCCAGAAACGCCAGGTCCGCCACAAACTCCGAGTCCATCCCGCTGCCGGAGGGGGGGGGGGGGGGGGGGGGAGTGGAGTGGACGTGTGCCAACCGCCCCGAGTGCCAACCGCCCGGCAGCCGCCAGGCAGCCAGCCGCCCGGCAGCCAACCGGCCGCTGGACGGTGGCCGTGCGAGGGTGCAAGGTGGCACAATAGGTGGTCAGGCAGGGCCAGCATGCCATGATGGATGGGGCGGGCAGTTCAATCAGTGCAGGAGCAATACCAGGCTGACGGACAAGGTGGGCGAGGGGCGAGGCTACGGGCCGAGAGCGGCTCGGGCAAGGAGCATGGCCTCGGGCAAATGGGCATTGTGGCTCTCGTGCTGCCAGATGAGAGTCTTGTCGGCGAGGCGGTCCTTGGAGAGGCGATAGATGGCCTTCCACAGACGAGCAAAGCCGATGGGCCCGCCGGCGGCGACGCGCCACTGTGACTTGGCCCACTTGGGCAGAAAGTTGGCGGCAGCCTTGACAACGAACCGCGAGTGGGTGTGGATGCAAACGGTGGCTGACGGCGGGATGATGCGCAGGGCAACCTCAGCGGCGGCCAGCGAAGCGCATCGCTCGACAGAGTCCGGCGACCAGCCTTCGGCGTTCCACGGGTACGGATGAGTGTCGTCGAGGACGCGTGAGACGTTGCGCGGGTCGTCGGCGCCAACAAAGACGCCCACCGCCGCCCGGACGTGGCCCGACGCGTCGACGGCGATCGCGGCGTCGCAGATGACGTGCATCCGTCCGTCGGCAAACAGAGTGCCGCCAAGCGACGCTGCAGGCGAAGCGGGCATGCCCGGCATCCGCTGCAGCGCAGACGATGACCCAGCAGATGACGGCGACGCAGTCGCCGGTTCTGACGAGATGCGCGAGAGCGGGGAGCCGGCCGAGTTGACCAACGCTGGCGGCGCGTCGAGCGAGACCGAGGCCGAGGGCCTGCCCGAGCCCGACGGGCTGGAGGGTGCCGCAGCAGCGCGGAGAGGCGGCTCGCCAGACGGCGTTGGTGCTCCGGCGCGCGCAGCCTTGGCCGCCTGCCGCTTCAGCTGCCGGTACAACCGATATCGCGGCAGCATGTCTTGGTTGGCGCGAATATCGGCGGCGGTCGGCAGCTCACCGGTGGCGCGCGCGTACGCTGCCTCCCACAGCAGCAGCTCTTTCCGCAGCGCCTGCAGCCGGTCCGTCCCGGAGCGGGTGCGGCTCATGCCGGTGCCGTGGTTGGGTGGTGCGGAGAGAGCGGTACTGTGCTCTGCTTGCGGAGCAGGCGCCGGAGCGTGAGAGCGAAGATCGGTAGAGCGAAATCTCGGGGCAACAATGACGCAGACCAGTCTTTTGGAAGAAAAAGCGGCCACAAACCGTTATGGCGATTATACAAGGGAGGGATAGGTGCATTGCGTTGGGCTCCGAGAGACGTGCGGGTGCACAGAGGTGGGCAGGAGCCTATGAGATGAGGAGGGTGTGATTCGGCGGGTGTGGCTAAAAGAAAGGCAGGATAGCACACACGGAGACGTCTAAAAACGTCAAAAAGCTGCGTCAAAACAATAAATATAATCAAAATATATAATACTTATTAAAACAAACAATAAATCTGTAGATATTAGTTGTAGATGATACTATTATATGTTTACAGTACCATAAATATATCTTTTTATAGTCCATATGTTGATTTGAATTTGGTGCGCTCGAAACATCGCGTCTTGGCCCAAGAGCGCTCTCTAGGACAGAGAGATCTACGAATGTAAGTAGCGGTAGGTGGTATCGCCGCAAGTGCTGGCTGTCCTCATCAACGGCTGGGTTGCTACCTTTACCTTGATGTGGCGCGGAATGCGAGGACCTCGGCGGCCACGACGCAGCCGCGCTGCGCTGTTTGGGCTGCTGAGCTACCGCGTCACCGTGCGACAGTGCCCGGGCTTCTGCGCGCACCTAACGCGCGGCCAGTGAGTAAAGTGAATTGCTACAAGTCTAGACAGCGAGCGCGTGCCTCGCAGCAGCGGCCTCGCGACGGCGCTCGGTGATAAAGTTGGCGCGCGAGAGCGCCGAGTGGGTGCGGTAGGTGGCGACAATGATGGGGATGTGGAGGAGAGCGAGGACGGCAAAGAGTCCGCCGACGCAGAGGCCTACGATGCCGCCGGGCTTGGAAGTGTCAAGCAGGTTGGTGGCGAGCCACACACCGCCGCCGCCGGAGCCGGGCACGCCGACGGCGAGGAAACCGAGAGCGGCCATCTGGACGATGGACGAAAAGACAAAGAACGGGAGCTTCGCCGGGGCCGACGCCCGCGCTGCGGCATAGAGTGGCCAGTACCAGAATACAAACGAGAGGCCCGAGCCGACCAGAAAGTACGTGGTGGCCAGGCCGGCCGAGGCACCGGTGTCATGCTCGCGGATGACGGCCCAGGCGACAGCAGCGATGTTGGCAAAGTACGCAAACATGACAAAGTACCAGAGGGCGTACGACCAGCGGACCGTCGTCCGTGCGCCCTCGGGCACGTCGCTGGTAATGCGATGCGAGACGACTGGGTGGCACGTCGGCCAGTTGGGAATGCGGACCGGGCGGTAGTACTTGGAAAACTCGCGCCGCTCGCCAGCGGTCATCCGCACGTACGTCTCGAGGTCATGCTTCATCGCCTTGACCACCGAGTCTGAAGTCGACCACAGGCCGGCGTCGCTTCCATCACAAGTTGTCGGCTCTGAAGGAGGAGCACCCTTGCCGTTCTTGATCTTCTTTCGGCGAACCTTTCGTGTCCGCTTCTTCTCGTTGTCAGCTTTGCTGCTCTTATCTTTGCTTCTCTTGCTTCTCTTGCTGCTCTTGCGCGATCGCGAGCTGCGGCTGGCGTTGTCTTCCGACGAGTGCGAGAACACATTGGTGAGGACGACATCCGAGGTCGGCTCGCACCGCTCCGTCGTTGTGTCTGTCTCGTCGTCGCTGCTCTCCAGTACACTCGACGTCTCGGACTCACCATCACATGCATCCGTCGCATCATCCGTCGCGTCATCCGTCTCATCGGCAGAACTAGACTCGCCATCGGACCCATCCACGGACGTATCAAGGGACGTGTCGCCCGTTGTCTCGCCAGACTCGCCTGTCTCATCATTGTCCGAGCTGGAGACTGCCGACGAGGCCTCCGACGAGCCACCTCTACCCTTGGTCTTGCCCTTGCCCTTGCCCTTGCCCTTGCCCTTGCCCTTGCCCTTGCCCTTGCCTCCGCCCTTGCCTCCGCCCTTGCCTCCGCCCTTGCCTCCGCCCTTGCCCTTCCCCCGACTCGCCTTCCCCACGCTCTTCTTGCTTGTCTTGCCAGCCATACCACCACCAGCCTACACGCCAAGTCACACGCCGCGCTCCTCCTGTTCGACGGTGTATGCAGGTTGTCTCCCCACCGCTGCACGCGCTGCCGGAGAGAAGTAGTGTCAGCCACTTGGTCGGTTGAGGCAGGGAAGGAAGGGCCGCCTGTGGGCGTTTGCTCCTCTGTCATGCAACCTGTACCCACCACCAGCCCGCCACCAGCCCACCACCGGCCCACTTGCGCCCCTGCACATGCCGTCCGGCAACAGGGCTGTCTTCTGCCGCCTACCCCCACTCCCTCTCCTCACCACCGCCACAGACACTCTGCGCGTGTTGGCACAGGTGCGGAGCCCGGGCACGCCACGTGCACCCGCTTGACGAGTTGTTTGACAGCTGTGACAGACACATGATGACCACCCCACCGCATTGCACCACTACATCACATCACAGCATCACCACATCACAGCATCACCACATCACACCATCACCACATCACAGCATCACCACATCACAGCATCACCACATCACGGCATCACCACATCACAGCATCACCACATCACAGCATCACCACATCACAGCATCACCACATCACAGCATCACCACATCACAGCATCACCACATCACAGCATCACCACATCACAGCATCACCACATCACAGCATCACCACATCACAGCATCACCACATCACACCATCACCACATCACAGCATCACCACATCACAGCATCACCACATCACAGCATCACCACATCACAGCATCACCACATCACAGCATCACCACATCACACTATACCATGGACACGACGCCTTTCCTGACGCAGACCGAGCACAGACGGAGACCATCGCTCCGCCACCACACCTCTCCGCCCCCCTCCCCCCTCTCTCAACCACCCTCTCCCCACAACCTCCCGCAATGGCTGCCCCCTCCTCCTCCTCCACCCCCCGCACATACCCGCTGTCAGCAGTCGCAGGCGTCGCCGCCCACCCGCTCAACCCGGCCATCGTTGCCGTCTCCCTCACCACAGGCCACGTCCACCTGCTCGACACTGATGCCGGGCCCAACGCCGAACCGCTGCAGCTCTCGTCCGACGCGGCTTTTCCGGTCAAGCGCGGCGCCCGCGGCATCGCCTTCTCGCCACAGGGCTTAGAGGTGTATGTTGCTGGCGAGTCGGGCGTCCTGGCCTTTGCCGTACCGTCGCTTGCCGCCCTGCGCGCCGGCGCCCGCTCCTCGCCCCGGCTCATTGTCGGCTCGTTGACGGGCCGCAACGCCGGCACGCTGGCTCCGGTTCCGCTGGCCTCGGCTTCTGGTCTAGATCTGCAGTCGGGCGCGGAGTATGCCGATGTGCCGGCCCTCTCGATTGTGTTCAAGCTCATATACGGCCTTGCCGTCCACCCGTGCTCCGGCGCGCTGTACATTGCCGATCGAGGAGCCAACACCATCTACATAGCTACGCCTCCTCCGTCGACCGCGCCCGCAACAAACGAGTGGACCGTCCGCCCGCTTGTAGCCCGTTTGGGCGTCACCGCTGCAGACGGCCCATTCTGGCTCAACGAGCCCAAAGGCCTCGCTGTCTCGCCCTCAGGCAACGCGCTCTTCTTCTCGCAGTACCACGCCATTATCCGCCTCGACCTTGCCTCGCTGCAGCTGACTCGCATCGCTGGCACCAAGGCCTCAGCCACTGCCCCACCATCTGCGCCGATCTCTGCCACCATCCCGTCGCTCCTCAACCCATCCGGCATCGCCCTTGCTGGCGACAACTCAATCCTCGTCTGCCTCTATTCGTGGACGGTGGTGCTCTCCGTTGCGCTCACTCCGGATGCTGCTGCCGATGGCGTGACTCTCGACACCGCCACTGCCGGTGACATGGCTGTCTCGCCGCTGCCGACTGGCTCGGTCCCGTCGTTTTCATCCCCCATCACCGTCGCCGCTCTCTCCACCGGCAGCCTTGCTGTCGTCGAACACTCGATAGCACTGCGCATTGTTCCTGGCGCGTGTGCAGCCTCAGATCCACACGCCCACCTCCGCCGCCCGTGGTCGCCAGTCTCGCACCTCGCCTTCTCGCTCGCTGTCCGCCGCACCATCTTTGTCGTCCTCGTCATCGCCCGCGCTGTCAACCCGGCCACGTCGGACTACACCTACGCCTCACACTGCTTCCTTCCACACCTCCCCAACGAGATCCTCCACTTGATATTCGCCCACATCGCCCGCGCCCAATAACCACCATCCATTAACCGCCATTGCCAGCCAACGCCCGCCAGCCGTCCGCCAGCCGTCCGCCAACCGTTGCCTTCCCGCCCGCGCCAATCACGGCCACCCGCCCACGCCCAGCCACCCGCCCACCCCACCAGGTAACCGCCCTACCCCGCTCCAACCGTACCACTCCACCCCACCCCCACCCCCCACCCTCCACCCTCCACCCCCACCCCCACCACCCTACACCCTCCACCCTCCCCACCCTCCCCCTGAAACCATGAACACCTACGAAGGGGTCGACCCTGAGCGGTTGGTACGTCGCCGTCCCTCTCCCCCCTCCCCCTGTCTCCCTCTGTGCACTCCCTCGCCCCCCCCGCTCACCGCCCCGCCCCCCTTCCCTACACAGACCCCCTTGGAACGGACACACTTCCTCGCCCTCGACCGCTTTGTCGAGCACGAGTCGCTGCGTGCCACAGAGCAGCTGGTCCGCCAGCGGTTGGGTGAGCCGGCCGGCTCCGTCGCCATGCCACCCATCGGCTCGTGGCAGGTCGGCGCGGCCGACTTGGCCAGCCTCAACTCCCGCCCGGATGCCCAAGCCGGTGCCGACGGCCTTGCTCTGCCGTCGTCCGGAAGCAGCCACTCTCCGGCGCCTCTGCGGGGCGTCGAGCCGCGGTCAGCAGCCCCGTCGCTCCTCGGCCACGCGAACTCGTACCTGCCACGGGCCGAGAACTACGCCACGCCTGGCCGCGCCTCACCGTCGCTGGTCAAGACCATCAACACCATCGGGCGAGAGGCAAGAGTCCACCGCACGCCACACGTGGATGCCGAGGACGTCCGCCCGTACCCGGGATCGGTCCCGGCCGCCTCGTCGCTCTCGCGGCTGCTCTCGGCCGCCGACATCGACGACTCGACCGGCGTCGGCAACGTCACCGTTGTCGAGCGCCATCTCTCGTTCTCTGCCGACGGCGCCGAGCTGGCAGCCTCGGCCGATCGGCCCATCACACTCGACGATCTCGACAACGCCGTGTCATCGTCGGACCAGCCGTCCCGCGCCCGGCGGCTCGGCCCGGTCCGATCGCGGCGCGGCCGCGGCCGTGCAAGCCGTGGCAGCCGTGGCAGCGGCTCGCGCGCGCTACGCTCTCGCTCCCTCTCGCGCTCGCTCTCACGCCCATCGTCGCTTGCCCGCGCGCAGAGCCGTCACGCTGGCCAGGCCTCGCTCTCCCGCGCCTCGGTCGTCCGCTCCAATACCACTTCGCTGCGCAAGATCATGGCCGCTGCCCGCAAAACCCCGACCCGCGCTCAGAGCTCTATGCGCTTGCAGCCATCTCCGGCACTACTTGAGCAGGGAGAGACTGTTCGTGCCACCTCGGCGCTTGCCATGACCCTCTCATCCCCGGTCTGCGACGCTTCCCACCACGCCACTCCGTCGAGGCTCTCGCCGCTGCCAAGCGGCAGCCGCATGCGTGAAGCACACAGAGAATCACCGCTCCCACCGCTACCGCCTCCGCTCCAACCGCTGCTTACGCCCCAGCTGGCGCCGACGCCGACGCCGAACCCGGCCCGGGCCGAATCCTCCAACGACGACGACGACGACGACTCGGTCCCAGCTGGCTTCTTCCCGCTCTCGTTTTTTGACGACGCCACCTTTGATGAGCTCAACGAAAAGCTGAGCCTGCCCAACTACGCCGTCTCTGGCCTCTCCAAGTTCTTTGACGTCGACGGCTCGTGGTCGTGGAAGCCGTGCCTGGTTGTTGGCTACAACGCCGACAAGGCGCTGTACCAGATCGAGTGGCTCTCGAACCACTCGCTCAAGTGGGTCTCGCGGCTCAACCTCGTCTTTGATGGCGAGGATATGAGCCTCTTTGGTGCCCGCCTTCAGGCTGCGCTGGTGGCTCGCCGCGAGGCTGAGGCCATGCTTCGCTACAACGTCCGCATCGACCTCATGCCGACCGACGGCCTGCCCGAGCTCGACGATGCCGCATATGCTAGTATTGTCAAGCGCGTCGGCCGCGACTTTCCACACGCCGCCACCCTCACCGACCGCCAGCGCGCCGTCGCCGCTGCCGCCGTCACCGCCGAGCTTGTTGCCCGCGCGCGCGCCGGCGCGTCCGACACCGGTGCTGGCCCGAGCGCTGCCTTTGAGCCCACGGTTGCAGGCACTCTCTTTACTGATGCCTTTGAGGAAGCCGTCCGCTACCACTACAAGCGGACCATCAACCAGATGGAGTTTGACGCCACCCTCCCGTACCGCGCCATCAACCCGGCCGAGCCGCTGCCCGCCCCAACGCCTCCGGTTGCCATTCCTCAGCTCGGCACCCTTGTCCTCCCGCACCACGACTTTGCCGGCCACTTTGCCTCGCTCGCCTCGGCCCACTTTCTGGCCCGCCCGAACCTTGCCGCCGCACTTCGAGCCTCGTGGTCGTTCCTCGCCTCGGTCACCGACAAGCCGCTCCTCCTTTCGTTTCTGCTCAAGCCGAAGTCGCGCAAGCCGTCCAAGGCCGTTGCTCTTGCCTCGCTCACAGACTTTCTCAACGACCAAACGTTTTACATGCGGAACACCGTCCGCGACGTCCGCTACATCACCATCCAGTCGCTCAACAACGCGCTCGACGCAGGACTCTCGGCACATGCCAACGCCGCACCATACGACGTTGTCGAGCCGGCTGCCCTTGTCCGCCTCGTCAACCTCATGCTCCGCGACGCGCTCGCCATCGTCCTTGCCTCGTCCATCGACGACTACACTGCCACCTTTGTCGAGTACATCGACGAGCTCAACCGCATGCACGCTGCGTGCGCGGAAGCGCTTGTCGCCGCCGCATACGCAGACGCAGACTACGAGTACGAGTACGACGAGGAGGAGTCGGATCCCGACGAGTCGACCCATCCCGTTGCAAGCTCCTCCGCCTCGCTTGCTCCGGCCGACTCGGCACCCTCGCTCGCCGGCGCTGCCGACGCTGCCGCTGACGGCGCTTCGGCCAGCTCCGGCAAGTCGCGCAAGAAGCGCACCAAAGAGGAAGACCTCTCCGCTCTTGTCTCGTCCTACGCCGAGAACTTTGTCACCGGGAACGCTTCGCCTGCGCCGGATGCCGCCCTTGCGCCAGCCTCCACACCCGCATCACGCAGGCCGTCGGCAGTCTCGGCCAAGAGCGACGTGCCCGAAGACGCTCCCACTTTCGCGGCAACAGCCTCCAAGACGCTGCCACCCAGCCCGAGCACCACCACAGCGCTGGCGCCTCCCAAGGTCAAGAAGCGGCGCGCCCGCACCTTGACCCGTGCCGTCGTCGCGGCCTCGGAGCCGGGCGTCCCGCCGCCAGCGCCGATGTTCCAGCTCTTTGGCGTGCCGGGCAAGTACTTGCCGCGCAAGACGCCGCTCTTCACTGTCACGCTCGAGGTCTCGCCCGATAGCGATGGCTTGCTTGTCTACTCGCCGTCAGTCGAACATGTCCGCGAAGTCCTCCACCACCTCGTGGACGAGACCGTGAGTGCCATTCAGGATCTCCCGACTGTCCAGATCGACGAGTTTCGCCCGTTCGAGGTCCCGCCGCTCCTTGCGCCCGACCACGAGTCGAGCCCTGGTATGGTGCAAGCGCGGGCTGCGCTCGACAAGGCGCTCGACTGGTCAGGCGCGTACATGCGCGGCTACCTCTCACGGCTTGAGCGGTTCCACGTCCTCCTGGCGCAGACCCACACCGAGTATGTGGCTTCTTTCACTGCGCGCGAGCCCAAGCCCAAGCCGGCCGACTACGCCGACGAGGTCCGCAAAGTTGAAAGCCTCATTGTAGACATCCGCTCGCTCATCGACGAGCGAGTGGTCATGGGCATGTTCGAGGTGAGGGTCGTCGAGGTCAAGGCTGAGCTCGAGCGGGCCGCGCATCGGCTTCGGCGTGCGCTCCTCAAGGCACTCCGAGTCGACACTCAGGAGTACTGCCAAGCCCTCGACGAGCGGTACGCGGCCATCAACGTCAAGCTCACTACCCAGCCCGAGACGCCCGAGGAGCTGACCATGCTCAAAAAGTTCATCGCCTCGCTCCCCAAGGAGAAGCGCAAGCTAGGCAAGCGCGCCGCCGAGCTCAGCGCTCGCTTTGCCCTCCTCGAGTCGTTTGGCTATGAGATCTCCGACGCCATCGCCAGCGCTCACTATCACATCCTCTCGTGGCCGCGCAAGCTTGACACCACCATGGTCGAGACCGAACGCCTCATGGGCCTTGTCCGCATCAACATGACGCGCGAAATCAAGGAGAAGCTCTCCAACCTCGAGGCCCGGGCCATCGACGCCTCGATTGCCATCAAGAGCTTTGACTTTGCCGACAACCTCGACGACGCCGAGACGCTCGGCGAGCAAGCGGCGGCGCTGCGAACCACGCTCCGCGATCTGGTCAAGGAGCACGCGCTGTACAACAAGCACGAGCGGCTGTTTGAGTTTGAGCCGTCGCCACTCCCGGTCCTCTCGGAAGCTCTTGCCGAGTTCAAGCCCATTTACACGCTCTGGTCCAACGCCGCTGCCTGGTTCACCAAGCAGGGCACGTGGCTTGGGCAGACGTTTGTCACGCTCTCAGCCAGTGCCATGGAAAAGTTCATTCTCAAGACGTACAAGACCAACTCCAAGGTTCTTCGCCAGCTCCGCGGGCAGCATATTGCAGGCGCGACGGCGGCCACCGCCCTCAAGGAGGCCATCGAGACCTTTCGCGCCCACATGCCCATCATCAAGAAGCTCCGTCACCCGGGCATCCGCCGCAGACACTGGGCCCAGCTCAATGAGAAGACCGGCCTCAACATCTCGCCGCAGGCCGACTGGAACCTGTACTACTTTGTGGAGCAGCATCTGGAGAACCACATCGAGGAGGTGACCAAGGTCGCTGACGTCGCCATCAACGAGTACAACCTGGAGACAACACTCGATAAGATGATTGTCGGCCTCAAGCGCGAGTCGTTTGAGGTTCTCCCGTACAAGGGCTCGGACACGTTCATCATCGGTGCCCCCGATGACCTTGTCACCCTCCTCGACGACTACACCGTCTCGGTCGCCACCATGCTCTCGTCGCCGTTCATCGGCCCGCTCGAGGAGGCGACCCGCAAGTTTTCGGCCAAGCTCAAGCTCGTGCAAGCCACCATCGACAAGTGGCTTCTTGTCCAGCGCTCGTGGATGTACCTCAACCCGATTTTCTCGTCGGACGACATCAACCGCGCGCTTCCGCGCGGCTCGATGCTCTACGACGCTGTCGATGCGTCGTGGCGGCGGACCATGAACAAGGTCTCGCGCTCGCCAGCCGTCCTCTCGGTCTGCGACAACGAGGACGTTCTAGAGGTTCTCATTGAGTGCCACGACCTGCTCGAGCAGATCATGGAGCTCCTCCAGAACTACCTCGACGTTAAGCGATCGGTCTTCCCGCGCTTCTACTTTCTCTCTAACGACGAGCTCCTCGACATTCTGGCCAAGTCGACTGACCCGACCCGAGTCCAGCCGTACCTGCGCAAGTGCTTTGAGAACATCGACTCGCTCACCATGGTCGACGGCGCCAAGTCCCGGACCGGCCGCCAGCTCATCGACATCACCGCCATGAACTCGGCCGAGGGTGAGTCGATTGCCTTTTCCTCGGCCGTCTCCACCCTCCGCGACGTTGAGCACTGGCTCCTTGACGTCCAGTCAGCCATGCGGACCGCGCTTGCTGCCCAGGTCCGCGACTCACTCGCAGACCATGCCGCTGCTGTTCGCGAGGACTGGGTCCTTGCCTGGCCTGGCCAGATCGTGCTCGCTGTCAACCAGCTCGTCTTTACCCAGCTCGTCACCCGCTGCCTCCGCGACCGCGACTTGCGCGGCCTCAAGATTCTGCAGGCCAAGCTCGTCGAGCAGCTCAACAGGCTCACCGAGCTCGTCTGCTCGCCGCTCACCCGACTCCAGCAGCTCACTCTCGGCTCACTCTTTGTCATGGATGTCCACAACCGTGACACCGTCCGCGAGCTCATCGCCCACAAGGTTGTGGTCGAGTCCGACTTTCGCTGGCAGGCCCAAATGCGGTTCTACATGGAGGACGACGGCGAGATTGAGGTCCGCATGGTCCTCGCCACGCTCGCTTACGGCTACGAGTACCTGGGAAACACCTCGCGGCTGGTCATCACTCCGCTCACCGACCGCTGCTACCGCACCCTCATGTCGGCGCAGCACCTGCACCTCGGTGGCGCGCCTGCGGGGCCGGCCGGAACCGGCAAGACCGAAACGTGCAAGGACTTGGCCAAGGCCGTCGCCAAGCAGTGCGTCGTCTTTAACTGCTCCGAAGCGCTTGACTACCTGCAGATGGGCAAGTTCTTCAAGGGCCTCGCCTCGGCTGGCGCCTGGGCTTGCTTTGACGAGTTCAATCGCATCGAGATCGAAGTGCTCTCGGTCATTGCCTCGCAAATCCTTGCCATCCAGCGCGGCGTCGCCGCAGGCTCCAAGCAGCTCATGTTTGAGGGCACGCTTCTCGACCTCGACCCAACCTGCACCGTGTTCATCACCATGAACCCCGGGTACGCCGGGCGGACGGAGCTGCCCAACAACCTCAAGGCCCTCTTCCGCCCGGTTGCCATGATGAAGGCCGACTACGCGTTCATCGGCGAGATTCTTCTCTACTCGGAGGGCTTCAAGTCGGCGCCGTCGCTCAGCCGCAAGATGGTCAACTGTTTCAAGCTCGCCGCCGAGCAGCTCTCGTCGCAGGACCACTATGATTTTGGCATGCGGACCATCAAGGCCGTGCTCTCCACCGCCGGTGGCCTCATGCGCGCCTCACGCGCCTCGCTCGGCCGCGCCATGAACGACGACGACGAGGCGCTCATTCTTTACCGCGCCCTCTCCGACTGCAACGTGCCCAAGCTAGTGGCCGACGACATCCCGCTCTTCACCGGCATTCTCTCCGACCTGTTCCCGACAGCCTCGCCGCCGGTGCCCGACTACGGCAACCTCGACGACGCCATTCTCGAAACCCTCGCCGCGGCCAACCTGCAACCGGCGCCGGCCTTTATCCACAAGATCACCCAGTACTACGAGACACTCCAGGTCCGTCACGGCGTCATGCTCGTCGGCACCGCCGGAACCGGCAAGTCGGCTGCGCGGTCCGTTCTCCGCGATGCGCTCACTGCCACCGGCGAGCCTGTCGAGGACCACGTCATCAATCCCAAGTCGATCACCATGGGCCAGCTCTACGGTGAAGTCAACGAGGTGACCATGGAGTGGTCCGACGGCATCCTCTCGCACATTGTCCGCGGCATTGTCGAGCGGCTCGCCGAGCCGCCGCCGGCGTCGGCGCCCAACGGCGCCCACCCGCTGCAGTGGATTGTGTTCGACGGCCCGGTCGACTCGCTGTGGATCGAGTCGATGAACACCGTGCTCGACGACAACAAGCTCCTCTGCCTGCCCAATTCGGAGCGAATCAAAATTCCGCCGCGCGTCTCGTTTGTCTTTGAGGTTCGCGACTTGTCGCAGGCCTCACCGGCCACGGTCTCGCGCTGCGGCATGGTGTACGTCAACGAAAACACCATCGAGTGGGACCACTGGGCTGCGTCATGGCGCGCCCGCCTCGTCCCGCACGTCGCTGAGGCCTTTGGGTCCATCATCGACCGCCTCATGACCAGCCTCGTCGCGCCGGCGCTCAGCCTTGTGCTCCGCACTGAGCTCTCGCTCAAAACGTGCACCGCCGGCCTCATGCGCTCGCTCCTCATCCTCCTCGACGTCCTCATTCCCCTGGTGAGCCCGCCCGAGTCGAGGGTGGCCTCCGAGTCGGATGACAGCTCGGGCTCGGACGACGACGACGACGCCGACGACGACGACGACGACTTTGACATCGACGGTGACGGCTCGGACGACGACGCCGCCGATGGCGGCGATGAACTCGACGAAGCGGCGCTCGCGGCTGCCTCGCTCGCGTCGGCCGACGAGGCAAAGCGCGCCTTCCTTGAGCCAATCGGCACTGCTTACTCGGACGTCGAACTCCAGTCTGTCTTTGAGTGTGTCTTTGCCTGGGCCGTCGCGTGGTCCATCGGCACCATTCTCGAGTCGACTGACGACCGCGCTGCCTTTGATGCCATTGTCCGCGAGGCGCTCTCGCGCAAGAAAAAGGCGCCAGCACCTGCACTCGATCCTCGCGAGAGTGAGATGAGTGGCAGCAACGACGGAGCCGGTGCGGGCCCTGTCGAGGGCGCTGAGACGCCGGCACCACCGGCGGTCAAGACCGGGCCCAAGCTGAGCAAGCTCATGTATCCACTTCCGCAAGAGGGCACCATCTTTGACTACGAGTTCAAGCTGAGCGTTTCCGAGGTGGGGTGGCGGGCATGGAGCACCAAGCTCAATGGGTTTGAGCTCGACGCGGCCATCCCGCTCTCGCAAGTCTTTGTGCCGACGGTCGAGTCTGTCTCGCTCGGCTTTGTTGCCGAGCTCCTCATCCGGTCGCACCAGCGGATCTTGCTTGCCGGCACATCCGGCGCCGGTAAGACTTATGGTCTGCGCGAGGTCCTGCTCCGCAAGCTTGATTCGCGGTTTGTGCCTACCTTTGTGGGCTTTTCGGCGACGGTTCACGCCGGCGACGTGCAAGCGCTGCTGGCGTCCAAGGTCGACCGGCGGCGAAAGGGCGTGTTCGGCCCGATGCCCGGCAAGTCGCTGGTAGTCTTTGTCGACGACCTCAACATGCCGACGCCTGAAAAGTACGGGGCACGTCCGCCGATCCAGCTGTTGCGGCAGGTGTGCGACCAGGGCGGGTGGTACGACTCGGAGAGCCTCGACAAGCAGTTTGTGGAGCTTGTCGACGTCCAGCTTGCCGGCGCGCTGACACTCGGGTCGGGCAAGGCGCCGGTCTCGCAGCGGCTGCTGCGCCACTTTAACGTCCTTTACTCGCCCGAGTACGAGCGTGAGTCGCTCGAGTACATTTTCTCAGTCATTCTCAAGACGCACCTCTCCAAGTTCCTCTCGGACATCCGCTCGCTCTCGTCGAGTGTCATCTCCGCCACCTTTGACGTCTACGCGGCAGTGATTGAGCATTTTAAGCCGACACCGTCCAAGCCGCACTACGTGTTCAACATGCGGAACTTGTTCAAGGTTTTCCGCGGCATGCTGCGGGCGTCACCGGAGAAGATGGTCCACGCCGCCGAGTGGCTTTTGCTCTGGCGGCACGAGTGCACGCGCGAGTTTGGCGACCGGCTGTTTGGTGCCGATGCTGCTGTTTTTACTGGCCTTGTCGACACCATCGGAAGCTCGGCGTTTTCGCGGCCGGTCCAGGCCGAGTCTGAGCCGCTCCTCTTTGCACGCTTTGCGCACGATGACGGGGCCTACTCGCGAGTCCGCGACGGGCAAGGTCTTGTTGAGCGGGTTGAGGCAGCCAAGACCGAGTACAACTCGATGCACTCTGCGCAGCTCGACGTTGTGCTCTTCCAGAACGCGCTCGAGCATGTTGTGCGCCTTGTCCGAGCCATCGACCAGGAGCGCGGTCACGCGCTGCTGCTGGGTACGCCTGGTGGCTCTGGTCGCAAGTCGCTGACCCGGCTAGCGGCTGCGCTCTGCGACTACGACCTGTTCACCATCGAGCTCAAGTCCAAGTACTCGCGCAACGAGTGGCACGAGGACCTGCGGACAGTGCTCAAGTTGGCCGGCGCCGAGGGCGAGCCGGTGGTCTTTCTCTTTGACGAGGCGCAGGCCATCGACGAGGCCTTCCTGGAGGATCTCGACAACATCTTGCACAACGGTGACGTGCCCAACTTGTTTGGCTCGGACGACATGGAGATCATTTCGCGGTCGGTGACTGCGGCGCTGCAGGCCAAGGGCGGGGCGTCGGCAACGGTTGGCCTCACCCGCGAGGCTGTGTACCAGGAGTTTGTCTCGCGCGTCGGGCCAACCTCCATCTTGTCCTCTGTATGTCACCGTCGTCGGCGCTGTTCCGGCAGCGACTTCGCGACTTTCCGTCGCTTGTCACGGCTTGTACACTCGACTGGTACGGCCCATGGCCGATCGAGGCCCTGCACGCGGTGGGAACTGCGACGCTGGAGCACACCCCGTTCCGTGTGGGCGAAGGCGAGCGGGTGCCACAGGCCGAGGCCTTTGGTCTTCTCTCCTCGGTTGTCGAGGTGGCTGTCGGCATGCACTCGTCGATGGTGCAGCTTGCGGAAGAGTACACGCTCTCGCAGCTGTACGTGACACCGTCGCGGTTTGTGGAGCTCCTCAAGTTTGCGCGCGACTCGTACATGGCGGCGCGGCAGAGCCTGCAGAACGAGGTTGGGCGGTTCCGGTCCGGCCTCGCGCAGCTGGGCAAGGTCGAGGCGCTTGTGGCGACGCTGCAGGAGGATCTCTCGACCAAGCTGCCTGTTCTCTCCAAGACGCGAACCGAGGTCGAGGCGCTCATCGAGACGTTGACGGTCAACCAGGCCGAGGCCAAGAAGACCAAAGCTGCGGTCGAGTCCGAGGAGGTCCAGGCGCAGGCGGAGCAAAAGGTGTGCGAGCAGATGGTGGAGCGGACCGAGGCCGAGCTCTCCGAGGCGCTGCCGGAGCTGGAGGCTGCGCAGCGGGCACTGCAGGAACTGCGGCCGTCCGACATTGTGGAGATCCGATCGATGCAGCACCCGCCGCCAGGCATGACCATTGCCATCGAGGCGGTGTGCATTCTGCTGGGCCACCGGCCCAAGATGGTGGCCGGCCCGCGGCCGGGGAGCAAGGTGCCTGACTACTGGCCAGTGGCGCGGTCGCTCATGGCCGACGGCTTTGTCAAGAAGCTCCTCGGCTTTGAGCCCGAGTCGATTACGGCGGCGACGGTGGCGCGGCTGGAGCCTTACATTACCAACCCCAAGTTTGCGACGGCCAAGATGGCCAAGATCTCGGTCCCATGCGCAAAGATGACCGATTGGGTGACGTCGATGTACAAGTTTTACTTTGTCAACGAGCGTGTCAAGCCGCTGCGTGCCGAGGCCGAGGGAGCCAAGGTCTCGCTCGATGAGACGCTGGCGCGGCTGGAGGCTGCACGGGCGACGCTCCGCGAAGTCGAGGAGCGAATTGATGAGCTCACTGCCGAGTACGTGGCGGCCGACGAGCGAAAGTCAGTGCTGGAGGCCGAGGTCGAAGAGTGCAAGCTCAAGATTGCTCGCGCCGAGGAGCTCAACGACGGGCTCGGCGACGAAAAGGTGCGGTGGCGGGAGCGTGTTGTTGAGCTCTCGGCCGAGTTTGGTTCGCAGCTCGGCGACGTGCTCCTTGCTGCCGGCGTGGTGGTGTACCTTGGCGAGGTGGGGACGCAGGCGCGACGGGAGATGGTGGCCAAGTGGCGAGCGCTTGTCGAGGGCAAGAACATGATGGTCTCTGCCGACTGGTCGGTGGTCAAGGTCTTTGGCGACGAGCTGCAACTGCTCGGATGGCAGATTCTGGGCCTTCCACGCGGCGGGTACTCTGCCGAGAACGCGGTCATTGCCTCGTCGACGTCCAAGTGGCCACTCCTGGTTGATCCGCAGGGCCAGGCGAACTCGTGGATTCGGCGGGCGGCACAGGCCGGGCCGGAGCCTGTGGGCGGCACGGCACCCGCGCCTGCATCCCCAAGCCACGGCGACGACGTGTCGGGTTCAAACGACGAGGGCGAGAGCGATGGCGAGCCGAGCAGCGCTGACTTGGCAGGAACAAGCGGAACTCCGGGTGAGAGTGCCGGTACTGGCGGCTCGGGTGCGTCGCTTGGCTCGGGCCTGGGGCTTGTGGTGGTCAAGCCGAGCGCACCGGACCTGGTCCGGGTTGTGGAGGCCGCGATTGTGTCGGGCAAGACTCTGCTGCTGGAGGACGTCGGCGAGGAGCTACCTGCAGTGCTCAACGAGCTTGTCCGGCGGGCTGTGGTGGTTAAGGATGGGATGCGGGTGGTGCGGCTGGCCGACAAGATGGTGCCGTACACCGAGTCGTTCCAAATGTACATGACATCGCGGCGCTCGGGCGGGTTCCCGCCGCAGCTAGCGACGCAAGTGACGCTTGTCAACTTTGCGGTGACGCGGGCTGGGCTAGAGGAGCAGCTGCTGGCGGTGGTTGTGGCCAAGGAGAACCAGGCGATCGAGGCTAAGAAGACGACAATCATTCGTGAGAACGCGGCGGACATGGCGGCGCTCTCTGCTCTGGAGGACAAAATTCTGGAGCTGCTCTCGTCGGCGTCTGGCGACATTCTGGAGGACGATGTGCTCATCCAGACGCTCAAGAACTCGAAGCGGACGTCTATTGACATTGCCAAGCGGCTGAAAGAGGCTGCGGTAACGGAGAAGGACATTGATGCGGCGCGGTCGCAGTTTAAGCCTGTGGCGCTCCGCGGGACTGAGCTCTACTTTACGTCTGCATGTCTGGAGAAGCTCGACCCGATGTACCAGTTCTCGCTGCGGTGGTTCCTCAACGTGTACTCGGGGACGATCGACGCGACGGCGCACGTGGCCGGACAGGACATGAACGGACGGCTGGCTGCGCTCAACACGGCGCTCTCGTCTGCGTTCTACGTCAACGTCTGCCGGTCGCTGTTTGAGGAGCACAAGCTCCTGTTCTCGCTCCACCTCGCGGTGACACTCAACCGCGAGCAGCTTGACGACGATGAGCTCAACTTTGTGCAGCGCGGAGCAGGGTTGGTCATTGCGGCGGACCAGGAGAAGAGCGTCGACATCGACGAGTGGCTCAACGACGCATCGTGGGTCCAGGTCTGCGAGCTGACCAAGCTCCCTGCGTTTGCCGGGCTGGCGGAGAGCATCAATGGGGCTGATGCCGACGGGTGGCGAGGTGTGTACGAGGCTGCGGTGCCGGAGGCTGCGATGTGGCCAGGCAGCTGGAGCTCTGGCCTCACAACGCTGCAACGAATGTGCATCCTGCGGTGCCTGCGGCCGGATCGGATGCGGACGATGCTGGCGAGTCTTGTGGAGGAGCTGCTTGGGCGTGAGTTTGTGGAGCCGCCGCCGTTCTCGCTCGCGTCTGCGTTTGAGGACTCGCGTGTCAACGTGCCGCTCATCTTTATTCTCTCGCCGGGCGTGGACCCGCTGAAGGAGCTGTACAAGTTTGGTGCGTCGCGCGGGATGTCGTCTGAGCGAATCGTGGTCATTTCGCTGGGACAGGGCCAGGAGGCGCGTGCGGTGGAGCAGATCGAGAAGGGCATCGACTTTGGGCACTGGGTTGTTCTCCAGAACTGCCACCTGCTCCTCTCGTGGATGCCCGCACTGGAAAAGATTGTGGCCGAGCTGCCTGACGAGAACGGACGTGTCCACTCCAAGTTCCGGCTCTGGCTGACCTCCAAGCCGTCGCCACGGTTCCCGGTCTCGATCCTGCAGATCGGGGTGAAGATCACCAACGAGCCGCCGCGCGGCGTGCGAGCTAACATGCGACGGTCGTACGTCTCGTTTTCCGAGGACGAGCACTTTGCGTCGGACGCGCGGCGCGACCCGGTGGCACACAAGCTCACGTGGATGCTCACCTTTTTCCACGCGCTGGTCCAGGAGCGCCGCAAGTTTGGTCCGCTCGGTTGGAACAAGGCGTACGAGTTCTCCGAGTCGGACTTGCTTGCGTCCAAGGAGCAGCTGTATCTGCTGCTAGAGGCAAACCAGGACGTTCCGTTCTACGCGCTCAACTACTTGACGGGCGAAATTATGTACGGCGGACGGATTACCGACGATTGGGACCGGCGGCTGTGTGCCACGCTCCTCGGTGGCTTGTTCTCGAAAAAGGTGCTCTCGTCTGGCTGGCGCTACACGTCGACAGGCGAGTACCGGGCACCTGGTGCCGGGCCGCTCTCAGAGTACCTGGACCACATCGATGCGCTGCCGGAGGTCGACTCGGCCGAGGTCTTTGGCCTCCATTCGAATGCCGAGCTCTCGCTGGCGGTGGTTGAGGGCCTCAAGCTCTGCGAAGGCCTGGTCTCCCTGGGCTCGGGCGGCTCCGGGAGCGCGCCAGCAGCAGCAGCGGCGACAGACGAGGCTGGCGAGAGCAAGGCCGATGAGAACGAGGCCGACACGGAAGAGTCGGCCAGCTTCGAGGCTGTGGTGGCAGAGCGGGTCAAGGAGCTGCTGGCGCTGGTGCCGACCGGGCTGGATCCGAGAGCGGTGCGGGCCAAGTACCCGCTCAAGCACGAGGACTCGATGGCGACGGTTCTGTACCACGACTGCACGCGGTACAACTCGCTGCTGGGCGTTGTGGAGGGAAGCCTGACGGACTTACTTGCGGCGCTGCAGGGCCGGATTGTAATGAGTGCGGCGCTCGACGCAGTGGCGCAGCGGGTGTTTGATGGCCTCGTTCCGGGCGCGTGGGGTGACGCCGGGTACCTGTCGGAGAAGGCGCTCGGCCCATGGATGGCCGACTTGCGAAGCCGGCTCGAGTTTCTGCAGCGGTGGTTCGAAGATGGCCCGCCGGTGGTGTACGGGCTCGGCAAGTTTTTCTATCCGCAAGCCTTTCTCACCGGCGTGCTTCAGAACTACGCCCGCAAGTACTCTGTGGCAATCGACGGAGTCGTGTTCCGGGCGCATGTCATGGACGAGGGCGCGGTGCTCGCGGAGCCGCCGGCCGATGGGGCCTACGTCTCGGGCTTTTTCATCGAGGGCGCGCGGTGGGACTCGGTCCGGGGTGTCCTGGTTGAGCAGCGCGACAAGGAGCTCATCTCGCCGATGCCGCCCATCTGGCTGGAGCCGGTGGTGGCGAGTGGCGATGGCGACGGTGACGAGGCCGATGAGGACCCGAGCGCCAAGAACGCGCTCTACGATTGTCCGGTGTACAAGACTCTTGCACGGTACGGGCAAGTCTCAACCGCAGGGCAGTCGAACAACTTTGTGCTCGCGGTCGGCCTTCCAACCGATCGCGAGCCTGGCCACTGGGTGAGGCGCAGCGTGGCGATGTTCCTTGAGTTGCGCGAATGAACAATGCCCCACAGATCGTAGTGGTGGAGTCGGACCTGTGCGCGTAGAGCGCCACAGCTTGACGCGAGAACGAGTGATCATGAGAAAATTGGCAGAATGGGTTGGGTTGGGTACGGTCATGGGAGCTGCGTGTGTGTGTGGTTGCGCGTGTGGATGCAAGAGGCGGAGGGAGAGTGGAAAGAGAGGCGCAGGATGGCGGGCAGAGAGTGTGGGGCGAGAAGGGCGGGTGTGAGCGGCGATGTAAGGATGGGCCCAGGGGCAGGCGGGGGTGGTGGCGGGAGACTGGCGGCAACGTGGCAGCGGCGGCGGCGAAGGAGGGCGGATCGGGCGCACGTTGTGGCTGACGCGAGTGGGAGGAGCAGCACCCGACTCGGAAGGCGGCAGAGGGCAGGACGGAGACAAGAATGGCAGGACGTGGGTCGACTAGCGAGGCGGCGCGGGAGCGGACGGCACGGCTGCTGGCGCAGATGGCGCCTGTGGCGGCCGCGACTGCCGGGAGCAGCGGGCGCAGGAAGACGGCGGCGCCGCCGGTGACGCACACGGCTGACGTGTGCATCGTAGGCGCCGGGGTGCTCGGAGCGGCACTGGCGGCGGTGCTGGGCCGCAAGGGCTACACGGTGGTGGTGCTGGAGCGCGACTGGTCGGAGCCGAACCGGATTGTGGGCGAGCTGCTGCAGCCCGGCGGGCTGCGTGTCCTCCGCGAGCTGGGCCTGGGCGAGGCCGTGGAGGGCATCGACGGGCAGGCCATCGAGGGCTACGGGGTGTTCTACGGCGAGGAGGCGGTGCGGCTGCCATACCCGCCCGAGGCCGGTGAGGCGCCGATGGGCATCGCCTTCCACCACGGGCGTTTTGTGATGGGCCTGCGCAAGGCGGCCCGCGAGGCGCCCGGGGTCACCGCCCTGGCGGCGACGGTCAACCGGATGTGGGAGGACGAGGAGGGGACGGTGCTCGGCGTCGACTACACGTCCAAGGACGACGGCTCCAAGGGCCGAATCAACGCTTGGCTCACCATCGCCTGCGATGGCTTTGCGTCGCGGGCGCGCAAGTTGCTGACCAAGACCAAACCGGCCAAGACCTCGACGTTCCTTGCGCTGGAGCTCGAGGACGTCGAGCTTCCGTTCCCCAACTCGGGCCATGTCATCTTGGCGGACCCGTCGCCGATTCTGTGCTATCCGATTGGGTCGCGCGAGGCACGCATGCTCATCGACATCCCCAACAGCGTGCCGGGCAAGGAGTACGGCGAATATGTGCGGGCCATGACCGAGCAGATGCCGCCGGCGCTGCGGGCTGGCGCGCTGGCGGCGCTCGAGAAGTCGCCCAAGCTGCGGACAATGCCCAACTCGTACCTGCCTGCGGTGCCGGAGCGCAAGCTAGGCGCCATTGCGCTTGGCGACTCGTTCAACATGCGGCACCCGCTCACTGGAGCCGGCATGACGGTGGCGCTCGCCGACGGCAAGCTCCTTGTGGAGCTCCTCGGCGAGGTCGACGATCTCTCGGACCGCAAGGCGACGGCCAAGAAGCTCAAGAGCTTCTACACGCTGCGCAAGGAGCATGCGTCGACGGCGAATGTGCTCGCAAACGCGCTGTACGCCGTCTTTGCCGCCCGCGACAACGAGTATCTGCCGTTTATGCAGGACGCCTGCTTTGAGTACTTTAAGCTCAACCGCATCACCCGCGACGGCACCATGTCACTCCTCGGGCTCCTCGATACGCGGCCGTATGTCCTTGTCTCGCACTTTTTCGCCGTCGCCGCCTACGCCATCGTCAAGACCGTGCTCCCGCTTCCGTACCCAACGCGGATTGCGCAGGCCTTCCACATCCTTATGTCGGCGACGCGGGTCATCAAGCCGCTGCTGGACAACGAGAACGTCACCGCCCTCGCGCTGCTTCCGAACTCATTGCTGGGCATTGAGGCGTCGATCAGTGACTTTATGAAGTAGTGAGATGGTGATGGTGATGGTGATGGTTGTGGGGGTGGGTTGTGGGTGGTTGTGGGGGTGGTGATGATGATGGTGGCGATGGTGGTGATGACCGTGACCATGTTGACCCCCCCCCCCCCCCCCCCCCCCCCCCCCGCCTCCCCTCTCAGCGATCCCCTCTTCAGTCGTTGGCGACGTCAGCACCCTCTCCCCACCATACCTCACCCTTACCCCCTCCAGCAGCAAGCAATGTACGGATACCCGTTCCCCACCGCTACCCCCCCCGCACAGGGAGGCATGCCCATGCCCATGCCCATGCCCATGCCCATGCCCCACCACCCCCATCCCCACCACCAGCCGCTCGCACCCGGTGCCGCCGCCGCCGCCTCGGGCGACCACCACAGCCACCACAGCTACGGCTACGGCTACGGCTACGCCCCGTACGGCGGCTTTGCTCCCTTTGGCGCCTTTGGCTACGGCGGCTTCCCGGCCGGCTACGGATACTCCTCGGCAGGCGTGGTGAGCTCGGCAGCGGCCGGTGCTGGTGCTGGTGCTGGTGCTGACTCGGCTTGCCCGGCGCCGCCGGCGGAGCGCGACGAGAGCACGCTCGTCCTGTTTGACGTGGATGGGACGCTGACGCCGGCGCGGCAAAAGTCGACCGCCGAGATGCGGACGTTCCTCCATCAGCTGCGCAAGCGGGTGGTTGTGGGCATTGTCGGCGGCTCGGACTTTGGCAAGATCAAGGAGCAGATCGGCGATGACATCCTCGACTCGTTCGACTATGTCTTTGGCGAGAACGGCCTCACGGCGTACAAGGGCTCGGAGCAGCTCGGCGACGACTCGTTCCTGGCATACCTCGGCGAGGAGCGCATGCAGGAGCTGATCAACTTTGTCCTCGCCTATGTGGCAAAGCTGGACATCCCTGTCAAGCGCGGCACGTTTGTCGAGTGGCGCAACGGCATGATCAACGTCTCGCCCATCGGCCGCGACTGCTCCCAGGCCGAGCGCGAGGCGTTCAACGAGTTTGACAAGGGCGCCGGCGTCCGTGTCGCCATGAAGAAGGCCATCGAGGACAAGTTTGGCGACGCCTTTGGCATCCAGGTCTCCATCGGCGGCCAAATCTCCATGGACGTCTTTCCCAAGGGCTGGACCAAGGTCTACTGCCTTCGCTACCTCGACGCCTTTGACACCATCCACTTCTTTGGCGACAAGACCTATCCGGGCGGCAACGACTACGAGATCTTCGAGTGCGACCGCACCATTGGCCATACCGTCACCTCGCCCGACGACACCCGCGCCCAGTGCGAGGAGCTCTTCTTCTGATCGTCGTCGATTAAACCTTACCCAGCGCCAGCCAGTCCCCCCCCCCCCCCCTCCCCCCCCCCCACCATACACCCCGTCCCGCCACCTCCACCTGCCGATCCGTCCGCCATGTCATCTGCCGATCCGCCCGCTTGCCGCCCGCCCGCCAAACCATCCGTCCACCAGCCGCCGATCACTCAACGCCGCGGTCGCCAGGTCGCTTCCGCGCCGCCCACCTCACTCCCTTCCCCCCCCTTCCCCCCCCCCCCCCAGGCCACCACCATGGACTCGGAAGTGGCCCAGTTCACCCGCCATCACCGGCGCCTCGGCCACCGTCGCCAAGCAGTTCCTCAGGTCAGGCATAATGAGGGATACTCGATCCTTGCTGAACAACTCAGGGAGAAGACCCAGAAAACCCCTAACATCACATTAAGTTCGCCCACCTATT